TCAGTGGCTCCGCCCACTCTTCTATTGTCTAAATGTGGAAAGGTTGTTTTTTGTTAATGACAAGTTAGTCTAACCGAAGGGAGGCTCACACCAAATCGCAACTTTCAACCTCAGCTTTGAATTTAGGACTTAAAAAAGGAGTATTATGTGACTCTTTCTATTTTGGTCTGATTTGTTTATTATATAAAAAGGTGACAAAAGTGACATAAATAATTATAGACAATTAACAATAATCAATCAATGTGTAACTGTATAGTGTCAAAAATGTATTGATAGTGGGGGTCTGCCTGTCATAAAATGAGGAGTAAAAGCTGCGTCAGCCAGGAACAGGAAGCCACAGTTACTAGTCTGGGGAGAGGACAGGCCCCCCGACTCAACAATAGAATTAGTGGAAAACTACTGAGGAGGGGGACACTGACTCTTCTCCTCCAGCTGGGATATGATGGATTTCCCCGCGGCCTTAACACTACAGAACTCCATTTGTTCAAATGTACATGAATCAAAATGGTTATGAAACGAGTAATGAAATAAATACATGGTAAAATAAATAGCAGTACGGGCTCAGCTTGGAATAAAACATGTCCTTGAAATCACTGAATGTCAATTCAACTGGCCTAGATTTAGTCAGGTAAGGTTGTAAAGTAGAGCATTTCAAGTGGATTATGTTGGCCAGGTATCATTAAAATATACAGTTTACTTCCACTACAACAGCCAGTGTAGGCTTTAAAAAAATAAAAATAGAACTCAATATTTCATACATGAATAATAATATGCATCTATAAATGTATTATGTGTTGTTTAATAGAATATTTTAAAATGTAGGTGATAACTTTTAACAGTTTATTTCTTGTATGACAATGTTTCACAGTAAAAGAATTTGTGTGATGTTTTGTATTATGAAGGTATGATTGTAGATATAGAGTTAATATTTGTATTGTTGTCTTTTCTTGAGTTGCAGACTTGTGAAGACAGCACTAATGTGTATCACAATACTAATACAAGTCATAAATGTAATGAGTAAAATGAGGGGAAATTGTGTGCTTTAATAATAAGGATATTATTACGAATGATAGTATTTAAAGAGTGAGAGGAAGGAGCTCTTGTGTGTTGTTGTAGTGGCTCTGAGAAGAGCCGTTGTTGAGTGTGAGAGTGGTGGCAGGTCACTTTTTGGCTGCTGTAACCGCCTTCTTGACTTTGGGCTTGGCGGCCTTCTTGGCAGGGGACTTCTTGAGCACCTTAGGGCTCTTTGCTGACCACAGGAGTGGGTTTAATGAGAGACCGAGATGACCAAAAATCCCCTCTGAACACCACAGGAAATCATTCCTACCTACCTCCTGTACAACTCCTCCATCTTATGCACAGCACTTCCTACAATAGTTGCATTATATAAAGGCAGATAGAAAGGTGTCAAAGGAGCAACCACATTAGGAATTAGACTGAAGAAAGCTTTGATGGAAATTCCTGTGGGAATTGCTAGGAAAGCTGGATGTGAAGGACACAGCAG